TCCTGACGTTTCCCTGATTTCCAGATTTTTTCCTGGCTGATTTTTACTTTTTTCCTGAACCTGAAGAATATTTTGATTCACTCAAAAAATTATTAGATGCTCAAAAGAATGTTATACATATTACATTTTTTACAAATTTCTTCAAAAGTAAAATTATTTGAAAACATCAATAATTTCTTTTTTAAATAAATATTTAATTATTATTATTATTTTTCTATAGGAATTAATCGATATCTTCATGTTTTTTAAATAAATTTAAGATGACAGAGTAGATTGTAAACGCAACTCTTTTGAAATCCAATTAATATTAAAATTTTTAAGTAAAATTATTCATTAAATAGTTTATAAGTAATAATTTTATGATAGTTCTTCAAGAATTAAGTTATTTAAGAAGAAATTATTGTCAGAAATAGAAAAAATTGAATTTTTGATGAACTTTATCAATTTTTTTTTTAAATAATTGAATTCTTTTGCCAAATTTTATGAAAATACTAGATATTAAAATAATTGAATTTCGAATATTTTTTGAAAATAATTGAATCGTTTTAAAGAATTTGATTACAATTTTTTGAGAATAATTTTTTGATTTCTAGTATCAGCGAATTTAAAGTAGTGGAAATTCTCAAAAAGTGCAGAAATAGTAGATTTTAGTGGCGCATCATTTTTTTACTATTGTTGCTAATTTTTATTCCAATATTAATTGTGAAAATATTGTATTTTTGGTTTCTAAATAATTATCAGAAAAAAGGAAAAGAAAATCGCGTCAAAATTTGTCTACAGTGTAAATAAAAAGAGAAATAGTACAGTTAAATAGTAAAGTTGAGAAGAGAACAATTTTTTGGCGCTTTGAGAAAAAAAAATGATCGTCAGTGTAAAATTGGGGCGCACAGATAAATTTGACGACTGGTAAGTCCCAGGCCCGGGGTATATAGGACTCGTTGCGAAACGGGCGGTATCCTTTGTAGATCTTTCAATCCTCAGCGACGGTCGTTGAAGATTTTTACCTTTTTACCCTCGCGGAATCTACGAAAAAGTTTTACGTACGCCCGAATCCATTGAAATGCAACTCGCGCTTCTCTGTTTTGGTCCATCATTTAAGTTTGTGTGCGAGACTATATACACATACTGTATATATACAAAGTCGCAAAAGATCACTCAACGATCCTCTATAAAGATCATCAGACGATAAACCGCTAATCTGCCTGGGCTTTCGGCTCCCAATCAATCTTTCACTTTTTCTTTCCTTTCCTGCCTCGATATTAATAGATTTTTCAGAGATACACTCCGCAAACATGCTGCAAAATTCATAAACTCATAAACAAGTGGAAAATTTTTGTCAAGTTTTCTCAGTTTCCCCAAAGGTGTATAGAAAATTTTATGTAGTGAACTAAGGGACGAAAGTTACTCAAAATTAAAATTACAAAAAATCAGTGTTTATTTTGTTTTTTTTTACTTTCGCCTTGGAAAATAAGCCTCGTGTTCGATGCGCGTTAACTGCAAGTGGCATTTAACGTTTTTTTTAGAAATATATGGACATTCCCCGGGGTTATTTCAGAAGCAGAAGGTGGTTATGTGTCAACGTTACAACGTTCGACGAACAAATGCCGCATTCCTTTTACTCCACGAGTTTAAAAATTCGAATGAATTTTTGCATTTTTAAAACATGTATATATTTTATATAAGGAATAAGGAGAAAGAAAATTTTTTATAAGGAAGGTAAACAATTAAAGTCTGTTAGAAGTTTGTACCCTGACAGTTTGATTGAAGTATCACTGAAAATTTCTTTTCCCTTTTTGATAATATCAGCATTCATCATTTGAAAGAATCTTCCCTATAAACGAAAGTCTTTGAAAGTAAAAAAAAATATTTTAATCTTTTTGTTTCGAAAAAAAATTTACTTATTTCTTTATTTTTCAGACTGACAATCAAGAAGGAGGAAATAGAGATTCCGTGTTCTACACAGGAATTCAATTAATTTAGAATATTATTTTCAAAAAAATTTCGAAAAAATCAATTATTTAACAAAATCTCTATACAATTCTTAAAAATAATTCAATTGCTTTCACTAAAAAAAATGTTTTTCATAGAAAATCAGTTTTAAAAAAAAATGTTCGATAAAATTCTAAGCAGGAATTCGATTATTCTCATAAATAATTAAACTCATTGAAGAATTTCAATTATTTTTAATACTATTTTCAATTAATTAATCGAAAAATTCTATTATTTTCATAAATAAAATTATCCAGAAGAATTGAATTATTTAAAATAAAATTTTCATAATATTTATTATATTTCGAAAAAAATGAATTATTTAAAATAATGTTTATAAAATTCTTATAAAGAATTCAATTATTTTCAAAGATAACAAAATTCTTTACTGAAATTCAATTCTTTTTAAACAGTTTAATAAAAATTTTCCCCATAATTCAATTATTTTCATAAATAATAAAATTCTTCTCAGAAATTCAATTATTTTTGAAAATTATAATAAAATTCTTTTTAGGAATTTAATTATTTTTAAAAGTGAAAAAAATTTTCGCAGAAATTCAATTATTTTCATAAATTTTATCGCTATTTTTCGAAAGAATTCAATTATTATCCTTATAAATATCGAAACTCTTCCGAGAAATTCAATTATTTTTAGGAATATAAAAAAAATTCTTTGCAAAAATTCAATTATATTCATAAATAATAATTTTCATCACAAGAGTATAATTATTTTCAAAAATAATAAAATTCTTGACAAAATTTCAATTATTTTCAAAAATTTTCAACAATGCAAATGTTTTTCAAATTTTCAATATTTACTATTTTAAAAATATTTCCCAAAAGAATTCAATTATTTAAAAAAAATCTTGATAAAATTCTACGCAATCATTTAATTATTTTCATAAATATTAAAATTCTTTTCAAGGATTAAATTATTTTCAAAAGAAATCAAATTTTTTTAGGAATATAATTATTTTCAAAACTAATAAAATTCTTCGCAGAAATTCAATTAGTTTCAAGAATTTTTAAAAAATCCTCATCAAGATTTTAATTATCTTTATATAGATAGCAAAATTTGTCGACAAAATTCAATTATTTTCAATAACTTTAATAAAATTTTTGGGAAAATTTCAATTATTTTCAAAAATTTAAATGATTTTCAATATCTAGGTACTATTTTAAAAAAGTTTCCTAAAAGAATTCAATTATTTAAAAACAAAATGTTAATAAAATTCGTTGCCAGAATTGAATTATTTTCTTAAATAATAAAATTATTCTCAGGAATTCAATTATTTAAAAAAAATTTTAACAAAGTTTTTTAAAACTATTCAATTATTTTTATAAATAATAAAATTCATCGCAGGATTTCAATTATCTTTAATACAATTTTACAGGATCTACACAAAAAATATAATTACTCTTAAAAATTCAATTATTTTCATAAATAATAAAATTTATCGCAGGATTTCAATTATTTTTAATATAATTTTACAAGAACTACAGAAAAAATGTAATTATTCTTAAAAATTTAATTTCAATTCCTAGAAAAAACCAATTATCTAAAAAAAGTTTTTTTTTAATTCTTTGGAAGACTTCAATTATTTACAAAAATATTAGAATTTTTCACAGGAATTTAATTTCATTCAAATATTTTAATAAATAAAATTTAATAAATAAATAAAATTAAAAAATTCTTCTTTTAGATTTTAATAATATTCTTCCTAAGAATTCAATTATTTACATAAATAATTCTTCGAAAGAATTGAATTATTTTGATAAATAACAAAATTTTTCTCAAAAATTCAATTATTTTGAGGCATTTTAATAAAATTCTTTACAAAATTTAATTATTTTTAAAAATAATAAATTTCTTCTTGCAAATTCAATTATTTAAAAAAGTTCTAATAAAATCGTTACCAAAAGAATTCAATTATTTTCATAAATAATAAATAAAAAATATGGAATGAAATTTTTGTCAGTTTTGTGAAGTGTCTAAAACAAGGTTTTTTGTTGGCAAGTTTAATTTTTCGATAGCTACTTTTTTACTACTTTTTTTTAGTTTGATAACTACTTTTTGCTTCTTTTTAAAAATTAATTATTAATTTTAATTTTTTAGAAAAGGATTCATATAAAAATCAGGAGGAAGAGCATCATCATCATCATCATCATCAGATAATGACTTTTTATTTTGTTCATTAAAATCAAAATGCTAATTTTCATTTTTCATTAAAATTGTAATTTCTCATTAAAAATAGAATTTTAGTTTTCGTATTGCTTTAAAACCTACTTTGGAACAATTTTATTTTAATTTCCAATTTAAATTTGCCCTTAAATTTGAAAGCTCGAAATTTCAATAGTTCTCCAAAGAGAAATGAATTTATTTACTTTTTTCGATTCAAATTCAATTCAAGTTCAACGATTCTGTCTCGAATCTAACTCCACAGGAATTCCTACCAATGGAAAAATAAGATCACAATTTCCTAATTCGTAAATACTCATTCGTGATTGTTCTCCGTGAGCCGAATAGCTAAATACCAAGTTCCCTTCTTTTTTTTAAAAAAAAAAGCTCCAACTCCTTAGAACCTTTGGTATTTTTCGTAAAACTTAAATCGTTTTCTATCAAGAATTATTTCCATAAATTTAAATAAAAATTCATTGATATTTCCTACGCTCAAAAAAGAAAAATTCAGTTTATTTTGAACAAAATCGAATATAGAATTCCTCCTTTCTGTCCTCCTGAAAAGTGATAAAATTCCATTTTAATAAAAAAAGAAATTTCTTTTTTTAAAAAGAAAGGGAAGATTCTTTTTTTTTTCGTTTTTTTTTATTAAAATGGAATTTAGTTTCTCTTTGATGCAAGTGGAATAATAAATTTTTGAATTCATCTTCAGAGAGAGAAATGGGGGGGAAAAAAGGATGAACATCAGGAAATTCTCAGCAGAGGGAAGCAGCTCACAATCTCAGGCTTAAAATTCAAGTCGATAATGTAGTTGCATTGATTTAACAGCGTTGCCATGTTCACACACTGCACTACATCCTTAATTTACAAAGGGGCTCGAAAAAAACACTCGGCGTTTTACTGAAAAAAATCATTTCTCTACTCTCAATAAATTTTTTTTTTGTGAAAATTTCAACAATTTTTGGGACATGTGGTTCAAGAATAACAGAAGTAAGTGGAATTAACAATAAATTATCTTGATTCTTCAGTTTCAAAAGTTGATAAATTTAATTCCCTCCAGCAGATACTTTATACAAGTAAACAATTTGTTATTATAATTTTTATTATTCTTATACTTTTTTCTTAATTCCCAAATTTAAAAAAATCATTCTATCTAATGCTAAAAAAAATTATCAAAGTCCGATGTTTGTATATTTTTATCAAGTGTCAATCGTTGGGAAAAAAATTCCTTGGAATAAATTATTACTAATCAATTATTAATTATCAATAATTATATTAATTATCAATTTCTTATCCCCTATAAAATTTGTTCTAAAATGCAATTTTTTAGTTCTGTAATTATTTGTTATTTTACTTCCCGGTGTTTTTCGTATTATTTTACAAATAAATAAATTCTATTTTGGAAATTCGGGGAAAAAATTTTTCTTCCCGGGAAATGTGATTATGGGGTAAATAATTGTAAATTTAAAAATAATAGAATATGGAATAATTTTTTTTTATTACTTTAGTTTATCAACATGAGCTTCTGGCAACGAAGGCGTTTTCGTATAACACCGCTTCGTGCGCTGGTGGCAATTTTATTTGTCAGCTTTGTTTTGTGGTATAGCCTAAGTAAGGAGGAAATTCCAAAACAGCCGTGCAGTGTTCCTGAAGAATTTACCGAAAGATTGCACGAATTAACGTTCAGGTAATATTTTTTTCGATTTTTTTTTTCAAAAAACAAAAATTTCTTTCAAATTAAAATCAATTTACCTCCATGAAGCTTTTTGTTATCGACTTGTGATAATAGAAAGTCCACGAGGTAAACAAGCAACGAAAGAACAAGAAGAAAATTTTAGAACTGAATTTGAGAGGAAATTTTGAAAAAATATTTTTTTATTTACAAAAAATTAGAATTTTTTTATTTGCAAAACTTAGAAAGACATTTTTTTTAATTATAATAAATTTATTTGATAAATTAAAAATAATTTTCAACAATGTTTTCAGCAAAATTATTTGTTATTAGAGCAATTATTCTGTTTTAGAATTATTATTTTAGTAGGTATTGTTATTAGTATTATTTTTATATATTATTTTTATATTCTTATTATTTAAAAAAAATGTTTTATTATGGTTTTTAGTAGGTTATTTTTGTTTTTTTTCGTTTGTAGTATTATTTTTTATTATTTTTAGTACTATTTTTTATTATTGTTTTTAGTATTATTTTTTTATTATTGTTTTCAGTAGGTTTCTTTTTGTTTTTATTATTAATTTTTATTACTGTTTTTTTATTGTTTTTAGTATTATTTTCTTTGCGTTCTCTTTAGTATTGTTTTTTATTATTGTTTATAGTATTATTTTTTATTTTTTTTAGTATTATTTTCTTTGTGTTATTTTTGGTATTATTTTATTGTTTTTAGTATTATTCTTTTATTATTGTTTTTAGTATTATTTTTTGTTATTTTCTTATTATTTTTTTATTTTAATTATTTTATTATTTTTGTTTTTATTAGGTTATTTTTTTTTGTTTTTAGTATTATTTTTTATTATTTAGTATAGTAATTATAATTTTTTATAATTTTTTATTACTGTTTTTAGCATTGTTTTTTATTACTGTTTTTAGTATTGTTTTTTTATTATTGTTTATAGTATTATTTTTTATAATTTCTTATTGTTTATAGTATTATTTTCTTATTATTGTTTTTAGTTTATTTTCTTTGTGTTGTTTTATATTATTGTTTATAGTATTATTTTTTAGTATTGTTTTAGTATTATTTTTTCTTATTTTTCTTATTCGGCTTATTCCTAGTACTATTTTCTTTGTGTTGTGTTTAGTATTGCTTTTAGTATTATTTTCTTAGTGTTGTTTTTAGAATTATTTTTTTATTAGGTTATTTTTTTTTTTGTTTTTAGTATTATTTTTTAGTATTGTTTTAGTATTATATTTTATTATCTTCTATTATTTTTTATTATCGCTTTAAGTATTATATTTTAGTATTGTTTTTAGTATTATTTTTTTATTATTGTTTTTAGTATTATTTTTTTATTATTGTTTTTAGTATTATTTTATATTTTTGTTTTTAGTATTATTTTCTTAGTATTGTTTTTACTATTATTTTCTTAGTATACTGTTTGTCGTATTATTTCTTTAGTATTATTTTTAGTATTATTTTTTTAGCATTGTTTTTAAGTAATATTTTTTAGTACTGTTTTTTATTATTGTTTATTTTAGTATTATTTTTAGTATTCTCATTTTGAAACTGTTTCAGGGTTCACTTGGTATTGACGAAATTGAGCCTTGTGCATTTTTTATGCTTCGGAGGACTCTGGGGACAATTGCGAATAGGTCGTGCCCTGCCTTGGGTTCGAAAAGTAGATTTGTGTTTAGTCGACACTTTGAGAGATGATGCACTCATTACCAAAGCATTTAGAGAAGAAAGTTTAAGTGCCACTTATATGCATGCTGCGGGAATTTATCTCGTTCAGGAGCATGAAGTTGGCGAAGATGCACCAAAAGTGGAAATTATAGTCTTCGAAGAAGACACAGTTGTAAGTATTTTAATTTTATTGTTTTTTTTACACTTTTTTTTAAACAATTTTTTAAAATTAAAAAATTTTTTTTAATATTAAAAATATTGAAAATATTTTTCAAAGAAAAAGAGAAAAATATCCTACTTTTATTTGCTCCAATAAAAAAAAATCATATAAATTATTATCATAATCATAATCATTATTATCATAATCATAATCATTATTATCATAAAAATAAAGTTTTATCGAAATTAAAAAAACTTTTCCAGGATTAATAATTAATTTATTAATCTCAATCTAACATTATTATGTACAGAAAAACGACGAACAATGATATATACATAAAAAAATATTTAAATGAATGTAACAATACTATTATACAAATAAAATAGTCATTAAAAAAAATTAAATACAGTCACAAATATACATAATATACATTTTAAAAAAAATAATTCCGTTCTATCAAATCACAGTAGGTTAAAAATTTTTAAAATACAAAAAAAAATTGTCTCTTCTTATAAAGTCCTCTTTAAATTATTACGTACCCATTCATCGTGTGATATTAAATTAATAAATGTCTTTCTTTTCATGTAAAATTTATCCTGATTTTGAATGAAGCACAACAATTTATCGCCACTCTCAGTAAAATAGCATAATTCAACGGAAAATTTACGATTTAAAAAATATTTATACGGTGTACGTTCATTATTTTCCTCGAGGAGTTTCAAAATTTCATATCTCTCTGAATATAAACGTTGCCATGATACAATTGTAAAAAATATTTCGGAATACACTTGCCGTTTACATGTGTAACCACCCAATCGGAGGAATTTCTCATTTTTCGGATTGTACGGAATGTGAAAAATTTCAATCCATTTACCTTTTGTTTTTGTTAAATAAAAACCACGCACTGGCATTGAATCGACCGTTATTGAATCAACTGTTTCATTAAAATCATTTGAATTTTCGTGTTCAATGTTATTATTGGGTAATTCGTTATTGTTACCGTTATTTGGTTCATTGTTACCCGGGTCGTTGTTCACATTATTCAATTCGTTGTTGTTATCAATTATTGGTTCGTTGCCATTGTTAATTGGTTCGTTGCTATTGTCAATTGGTTGATTGCTATTGTTAGTCGGATTGTTACTATTTTCACATGGTACGTTACAATTGTTAGTTGGTTCGTTGCTATTGTTACAGTGACAAAATTCGTTACTTTCACTACACACGTTACATTCATTTAATTCAGTATTTTCGTTACCGTTACCCATTTCGTTACCGTTAGTGTTACCAGAATTGATTTCATTGTTGTCGTTATTTACTTCGGTATGCTGATAATGATTATGAGTAGCATACTGGCTGTTGTAGTAGGTTTGACTGAAAGAAAACAGGATTTTAAAATTTAAGTAATAATCATAAATAATATATCGTAAATAAATAATAATCATGACAATTAAAAAAAAGCCAAAAACAATTACCAAATTAATAAATTAATTAATGCCATTAAGGAATCATTACTAAATTAATTGAAATAATTAATTAAAGATTACAAAAACCGTTACTAAAGTAATTAGTAATAATTACTAATTAATGAATAAATTATATAAGGCGATTAAGAAATTATCACTGAATTCATTAAATTAATTAATTAAACCAAATATTATAATTATAATATCATAATTATAACAAATATTTTTAATTAAAGGAAAATTACAAGGAGAGTAAATTTTATGTTAATTGTAAAAATAAATTTTAACTTTTTTTTATACCTTCCATCGTATTCATTATATTCTGTGATCACCACTGTCTCAGGTTGATAATTATAACCATTTTGGCAATTTTGATAATACTGCCAATTTTCCAAAGTTTGTATATTCATCTCACGTTCCCAACTTTGTAAATATGCTATCTTATTGCATATTTCTTCGCTGAAAATTTTAAATTGAAAGAAAATTTTAAATAAAATTATATATGAATATTAATTGAATATCAATTATTTAATTAATCAATTAATATAATTAATAAATAATAAACAAAAGTAGAAATACATTTAATAGAAATACTTTTTTGACAAATTCAATAGAAATAAAATAATAGAAATAAATTTTTGACAAATTCAATAAAAATACATTTAAGAAAAAATAGTAGTAAAACTAAAATTAATAGTAGAATTAAAGTAAGAGTGAAAATAAAATTAATAAAAATAAATTTAAGAAAATTAGTTGTAAAAATAAAATTAATAGTAACATTAATGAAAGAGTAAAAATAAAATTAATAAAAATAAAAGAAATAAAAGTAATAATCGTAAAATAAAACTAAACTTAATAAAAGTAAAAATATATTTTTTGAATAAAAAAATAAATAAATAAAATAATAAATAAATAATAAATAACAAAATAATAATAAAAATAATAATGAATTTAGAAATTGACAGTGATAATGAACGAATTGTTTACATATATAAATCGCATTAAAATGTACTGCTTAATATTTTATTCGTCATTGATTTTCCTATCAATAAGAGAATCGGTACAAGTGTTTACTTCATTTGTTGATTTTCATTATGTTTCTTCCGAACATGGTAATAATCCAATGACACTTGAAATTCTTTTGCCAATATTCACATCGATTTCAAAAATAAAATTAAAAAAAAACTAAGAATTTTAATAAATACATTGAATTTTTAATTAATTGTATAATTACTAAATTCATCGAAATTAATAAACAAAATTTTTCTATTAAATGTAATTAGTAAAAACAGTTAAATAAAAATTGGATAAAATAAAAATAAAAGTTTTTATCTTAAAAGCAAAAATTGTATTATTAAATGAATAAGTAACAATAAAATAGTAAAAATAATAAAAATTAAAAAATTAGAAATAATAAAAATAAAAAAAATAGAAATAAGGGCATTTTAACTTTTTGTAAGCCTGTTATAATTATGTAAATAAATAATAAAATTAAGAATTTCCACGTAAGAAAAAATTAATTATTAATTTATAAATTAATAATTGTTGGTAGAACAAATATAAAATAATAATAACCAATATATAATTATAAAATAATTGAACGAAGATTATCTAATAATATTTATAAACCACTTAATGTTATACGAAAATGTTAATCATGAAAAATTGCTAAAAAGTGGAATAAATAATTAAGCAATCAATTTTAATGCGACATAATTATTTATTTTTAAAGAAGCGAAAAATTAAATGAAAATATTTTTTGTACTTACGTTTCAGTGCCCGAAAAATTATAATAATGATGGACAATATGTGTACTTGTAATAAACATCTTTGATTTTATTGAATTGGTAACACGAGTCGTGAAATTACTAAAATTTGAAAAAAAAAAATTCGAAATTAAATTTAAAAGATTTGTAACACAATAGAAAATAAATTCTTAATAATGTCGAAAATTTCAAATATAAATATTTTATTACATTAAAATAAATTTCAAAATATATAAATTAAAAAATAAATTAAACAAAATAAATAAAATAAAATTTAATAAAATATTGCTAAATTCTTAAAAATTTCAAAATTTTAAATATAAATATTACATTATTATAATTATATTAATATAATATACAATAATTATATATAATATTGAAATATAAATAATATATCGAAAATATTGCAAGTCAATGCTTAATTACCTCAAGATAAATAATTATCCACTTTTCGTAACGTTTAATTTGAATTTCCAAAGTCAACTGGTTAGGGGAAATTTTAATGAATTGCTAGGAGGTAGATTGAAAATGAAAAATTCAGGAGAGGTGTAAAGAGGCCGACCTTTAACGACAATTAAGCCAATTAACGTAAATTATTGACAATTTTTGGAAGGGATAAACAGAAACGATATAGTCTACACAACCAAAGGCAATCATTAAAATTATTTCTTTAATAATGGAAAAATTATATTAATAACAGAAATATAATATAGTATTTCTATTTTAATCTACCTTGTGCTATTAAAACGAGTATTAAAATTTCCATAAATAAAATTTACATAATTAATTAATTACAATCATAATTAATTATTACCTTAATGTTATATTGCTATTTAATATACAATATATTACATTATATTAATATTATATAATACGTAATAAAATTAAATAAATGCAAGTAAAAAATACAAAACCGAAATTTAAAAAAAACATCTTTTATTGTTACTTACCTTACGTAATTTTATCACTTTCTTTTTTTTCGATCACTAGTTGTGACGTCTCTCTTCGAAAATCAATAGATCAAAAATCTCTCGCACTTTCACTAAACACAATTAATTTCATTACAAATTTCTGTTGATGTTTTTCGAATATAATCGATGCTGTATATAGATGACAGTCAGAGAAAAGTTTTGTTTATTTCAAAACATTTAGCGTAGGGAAAAATTTTACATCCAGTAAAGATAGTTTCAATAATATTTTCTCTCATAATTATTTCAAAATAATTGTAATTTTTTTTTATTTACCAATTTTCTCACTAAAACGGAACTTAACGAAAAAGGAAATTGCAAATTATTTCAAGTAACATTACGTCACCAAAAATTAATTACAAAAAGAAAATTGCTGTCAATTTATTATTATTTATTATTAGAATTTTTAATTTGAATTTATTTTTTTATAATTTATAATTATAATTTTTTTCAATAATTTATAATTATAATTTTTTTCAATAATTTATAATTATAATTAATCATTATAATTTATTATAATAATTTATAACTATAATTTATTATAATATTTTATAAATATAATTTACTATAATTTATAATTCTAGGTTATAAAAAGCTTTATAATAAAAATAGACTTTGTAAATCTTTGAAAACTGTTGGAAAATTGGTGTCACTTCGATTTGGTAGAAAAATTTCAAAACTTCCACTAAAACGGGATTCGAGTGTAGTAGTAAATAAATAATTAGTTAATTAGATAAATAGTTAAATAAATAAAAAAATAATTAAATAATAATAATAATAATAAAAGAACTGAATTAGTCTGAAAAAATAAAAATTTGTCTCTTTGTTCCAGACTCAAATGGTGAGAAGGGTAGGTTGGACCAGAAGGGTTTTGCCACCTGATTGCGAACTATCTCCTAGTCTACAATGCTTTCCACCACAATTGGTAATTTCACCATTGCCAATGAAGCAATTCGGTGGTCACTCGATACCAGTCCCAAGAGAAGGTATCGAACTCCAAAAGTATCATTACCCCAATGACTGGTGGCTAGAGGTCAAACCCACTGACTGCTTCGATCCAGAGAAAATTGATACTTAATCATATCACAAAAAATACTATTTACAAAAAAAAAATTCAACATTTTTGTTTTCCACAAATTTTTCAAATACTATATAAAAAAATTTGTTTTCCCTTTTTATGTGCAATTTATATATTTGTAATTTTACTTTAACATCTTCGTATATAATAAAAAAAAAATGTTGCCATATTTGTGATATAATATTATAAAAATTAGAAAATTTTTCATTTTTCTATACTAAACAAAAAATATTTGTTAAACAAATAATCGATTGAGTTAGGAAAATTTTTTTCTCTCTAAGTTTTATCTCTTGATGTATTTTAAAATATTTTTATCACTCTGAATGATCTCCAAAGGACTCTATTTAAACAATTGCATTATGTACTTTATTAATTTATTCTAATAAACAAATTAAATTAAAAATATTAATTTTATTAATTTTTAGTTATTTAACTATTTTACTTATCTTAGGAGATTTTAATTTATGCACTAGAACCTCGATATAATGGACTTTCTGGTAAGGAAAGAAAGGAAGTCCACTATATCGGAGTTCAACTGTAGTTACAAATTGAAAACAGTAGCGTGAAAATCACCATCATAATCGTAATAGTATTTTTTATTGATACTGTTTGCAAAAATCAAAACGACACTGGAACCTCGATTCAATGGACTTTATGGGGGGAGAGAGGAGGAATTTCCATTAAATTGAGTTTAACTATTTTTTAAATTAATCGTTTTAAATTAATAACAGAATAATTTAAAATCGTGAGAATTTTTCCACTGAAGCTGTTTGTAAAAATCGAATCGACACTTGAACCTCTATTCAATGGACTTTCTGGGGAGGGAAAAGAGAGGATTTTTGTCCACTAAATCGGGGTTTCATTGTAGTTCAAAATTAATAACGAAATAATTCAAAATTGAGGGAGTTTTTTATTGAAGCTACTTAAAATCTGGAAAGAAAAGAAGGTCCTTTCTGGGAAGAAAAGGAGAAGGGGCGAAGGTTTTGTCCAGTAAATCGGGATTTGACTGTAATTACAAATTAATAACGCCATAATTGAAAATTGTGACAATTTTTTTGTTCATTGAAGCTACAGAGAAATTGTCAATAGTTTTTTCTTTATTTTTCACTCTTTCAATTAGAGAAATGAAAAAGAAAACACTTTTATTTAAAAATACGAAAAATAAAGAACAAGTTTGTCTAACTTTTAATTTCACTGCGCCTAATAACTAATTTTCCAAATTTTCTCTTTACTCCTCAATACTTTTAAATCTTAAAAAAATGTAAAAACACAAAATTGTTCAATTTCTATTTGTCGACAAAATTTCTGTATTATTATAAACTAATAACTTTCCCGATAAATATTTAAACGAAAATATTCACCGCCTTTCATTCAGACATTAGATTTTTATTGTCCAATCGTAAAAGAACACAAATGTTTATACTTAAAGAATTATAAAAAATATCTTACGTACAAGAATATTAATTATTTTTTTTATTCTCTCAATACTGCATATGAATCTTGCTAACAATATTTTTATTTCCTCAAATTGATTTTCAATTACCATCAATTTAAACAATTTTTCGTCCTTTTTTGGGGTGAAAAAAAATCCGCATAATCTTTTCTACTTTCCTAATGTGCAATTAGAAGAATGAAAGTATAAATACTCCTGAATTGTTAACAAAGAAGAAGAAGATGATGAAAAAAAAGTGGGGAAAATATATAGAAAGGCTTTCGTGTTCTGCAGTTTCAAATGGTTCGTAACTGAATTCAGTTGATTGTCTCTCAAAATTTTTATTATTTTTCTCTTCTTTAAACGCTCAGGGGAAAATTTTTTCAATTGTTTATTTACATATGTGAACTATTTCGGCAGGAAAAAAATTTTTTTGTTCATCTATTAGTGTAATTATTGCCAGAAAAAAATGTTTCGTGAATTATTTGTGTTTTCTTTAGTGATAACGTGACTTTCAGTGAGAAAATTGAAAGAAATTTTATAATGTGGAATTTTTTTCCAGTTTGGAAAAAATTAAAACAAATAACATTGATTTTCTTTGATAATGTCTAGAGGACAATTTTAAATCCATAGGATGCACATAAATGTAAGTTAAAATTATTGTCATAATAAATTTATAATTCAAATTTTATTTTTTCCTCTTTTTTATTTTTTATATTACTATTATTTTTTTTCGTAATTTAAATTATATACAAGCAATTATTAATTTATTTTTTCCATTATTAAAGAATAAAGTAAAAAAATTTTATTTATGATAAAGAATTTCATAATTAAATTTTTTTACTTGTTAATTTAATACATTTTTTATTCATCGTTAAAGTATTTAGTAATTCAAATTTTCTATTTATCGTCAAAAACGTGAATAATTAAATTTTTTAATAGACGTTTAAGAATTTAATAATTACTTTTTTTTAATCGTTGTTAAAGAATTTAATAATCAAATTTCATTTACGCAAAAAATTTCATATACTCCTCTCGTTATAAATTTCTCTATAATTTTAAAATCAATTTAAATTTTTGACTATAGTTTCAATCATTTTTAGTTGAAATGAATATAAACAAATGAAAAATTTTTCTAAAGAAAAAAAGAAGAATAAAAAAATACTGAATTAAATAAATAAATTTTCTAAAGAAAAAAAAGAATAGAAAAATTATTTAAATAAATAAATTTTCTAAAGAAAAGAAATAAGAATAAAGAACAAATTCCATTTTTCATCTAAGCAAAAATAAACGAAAAAAAACAAACTAAATTACCGATCGTTAAACTGTATAATATTGTCGTTTACTCTCGTATTTTCTCGGCAGCATCAGGTGCTTGGAAATTATTTTTTCAACAATATGAGACATAAAAGAAAAAGAGGAGCATCTTTTACTTTAAATATAGTAGCACTTGGTGTAAATTTTCATAATAATTTGAAAAATTAATGGAATAGAAAATTCTAAATACTTTGACCCGCTTATTTTATTTACTTAGTTTCCTTTCTCTGTGAATTTTTAAATTACAGATTCTAATTATTTATTATTTCCTTTTTTGAAAAAATAATTTCTTTTCCTATTTTTATGTTTATTTTTTTCATTGTAAAAAAAATTATGAAAAGTGAATCTGAAAATTACGTCTGGGTCTTAATGAAATATCCAATTTTCGAGTTGACTGCTCTTGATTGTCTTTCATTTTCAAATGAATTTCTTCGAAAGTAACGGTTATTTCGTTATGGAGCTGAGAGTTTATATACTATATATATTCACAGAGGACTTATTTCGAGTGAAAATCGACTCTTTATTGTTATTGTTTTCTCTTATTTTTGTCTATATTACTATTCGAACAACTTAACCCACTTGTCAGTTTAAAAAAAAACACATGACTTATAAATATTTAGCGAAAAATGAATAATATCGAAATTTTGCCTCTTAAATTTGTCTTATAAATTTTATTTCTAAATTTGAGTTCCTTTTTTCGCTATTTTTAGAAGAGTTAATTTTATTCCCCAAAAATTAGATATTAAAAAAAATTTTTTAAATAATAGAAACTAGAAAGTAATTTATTGATTTATTTTTCTAAATAAACAAATCAATGAATAAAATTACTATAATTATAAATTAACGATTATTAAAAATAATTATAACTTTAAATTGGAAAAAAAATTAAATTCATACACTTTAACTTCGATACAGTGGAGTTTATCTTCCTGGGGGGAGGGGATTCCACTAAATCGGGATTTAAAAAAATGAATAAAAGGAATAAAAATACTATAATTGTAAATTAACGATTGTTAAAAAAATTTATCATAATTTTAAACTGGAAAAATTTGAATCCATACACTTTAACGTCAATTTAGTGGAGGGGGAAACATTAATTGTAAATAAAGATTAAAAAAGTTTCTAAAAATTACCATAATTATAAATTAACGATTGTTAAAAATAATTACCATAACTTTAAATTAAGAAAATTTAAAGTCATATACTTTAACCTCCATTCAGTGGCGTTTTTTAAGAGGTTAGGTGGGGGTTCCACTAAACCGGGATTAAATAAATAAATAAAAGGAATAAAATTACGATAATTACAAACTCACGATTGTTAAAATAATAATCATAACTTTAAATTAGGACATTTTAAATTCATACACTTTAACCTCAATTTAATGGTTTTAGGTGGGGGGGGGGGGGTTCCACTAAATTGGGACCCCAGTGTAGTTGAAAATTAATAGCAGAACAATTCAAAAAGAATACATAAATTTTAGCAGACTGTAAATAATTCTTGTTGCAAACAAATAGTTGTAAACAAATAATTGTAAACAAATAAGAGCAAACAGAATATTTTGATTGGAGCAAATAAAAAAATGCAGAGTAAATAAAAATATATTTTTCTTCTCTTTTAGATATTCTGGCTTTTGATAATTTTAATGATGCTAGAAAGGACCACTCAGTATCGTGAACAATACAAGAGGAAAAGGCCTTATAAAATTGGACCACCACGATATAGTAGACCAAAACCATATTACAGACCTAGATGGCATCCATCACCTCGTAAACGTTACAAACCTCCGGCTAGATATTCCTACTATAATACTCATGGACCACAATATTCGAGGTAATTTCTTTTTCCTCTTTTATTTTTTGACACAATAAAGAGAGAGAAAAAAAAGTCTTTTTAAAAAATTCCAAAGACTAATTTGTCAAATATACAGATACAAATTTTGCATAGTGACTTTCTACTATTTTATTGATAGAATATTTGATGTAAAAATTTCAAACTGTTTAACTAATGAGATATTTTGCTATTCTTTTGCTTTTTTATTCTCAATATTCATCTATTATATTTATTTGTATGAGAAAGTTATTTTTTTCACTAATAAAGTAAATTTTTATGAGAGTGAAATTTCGTCTCTTTTTTTCTTTATATAAATATCACATATGTATGATTATGAAATACTAGATTTCTAATAAGCGTAAATCATTTTCACTGTTAATTCACTGATTTACGAAATCGAAGTAATCGACTCATAATTAAATTACAAAATTGTAATAAGATAATTAGTCTAAATTAGTTAAAAATTACTGATTGTTAGTAAAATTTGGCTGAATTTTTGCTTCAGCATTTAATAAAAAATTACTAATTGTTAGTAAATAAATAACTAAGAAAATAGTTAAAATAATTAAATTATTTTTACTATAAAAATTTTAGTAAAAAATATTTCAACAAAAATTAACAATTAGTAAAAACGCAAATTATTAGTAAATAAATCTCTAAGAAAGTAGTGAAATTTGACTAATTGAATTATTTACTATAGAAATTTTAGTAAAAAATAATTCAACAAAAATTAACAATTAGTAAGAAAAATAACTAAACATTAGTAAATAAATATCTAAGAAAATAGACAAATTTAATTAATTGAATAAGTTACTATAAAAATTTTACTAAAGAACAATTCATCAAAAATAAATAATTAGTAAAAAATTATTATTTTATATTATCAACATCATCATTATCAAATATTTTAATTTTCATATCTAACCAAAATTAACTGATTATAATAATTAATGTAATTTTTAAGTCTTCACAGATCTCCATCTTCATATTACATGGAAAATGATTTTATTGATGAACAAAGTCAACATCAACCGTATGTTATAGAAATAGAATTACCAAAAAAATACGGTAAACAGAATAATAGATATTTGGATCGTCATTATGATCGTAATGTATTATACGACGAAGATTATTCAGAAGATGATGAGGATTATGTGCCAAAATTTGGACACAGACGATTTAAATTAAGAGTAAGTAAAAAAAAAAATAAAAAAAAATTTGTTCTCATAGAAATTTTTTTTACATAACATCTTTTTTATAATTTGACCAATAAAATGTTTTTTTATTTTTAAATTTTTGTTACCATTTTAAGCATAAAATTTGTTTAAATTTTTCTAAATGTTTCTTTTCAAAATAATTACAATGAAAAAACAATTTATTTGACTCAAATAATCGGTTATTTGAATCAAATAAATTGTTTTTTCAGTGTTGAGTATAAAATAAATATTTACTTGAATAAATAAATAAATAAAATAAAATAAATTTTATTTAAGTCAAATAAATTGTATTTGCTTCAAATTTCTGAAATTAGTGGATCAAATGCAATTTATTTGACTTAAATATAAAATTTATTTAATTCAAGTAAATGTTTATTAGATATTAATTTTCAAACTTTAGTTAAAACAATTTTTGTTGAATGGACAAAAATTTTCTTTTTGATCAAGAAAAATATTTCGATTACATAAATACTAACAATTACAATTGTTATTAATATTATTAAAATTAGTATTATAATTAATATTTTTTTATTCTTATAATTTTAATATTACTATTATTATCTTTATTATCATTATTATCATTATTATTATCGTTATTATCATTATTATTATCGTTATTATTATTATTATTGCTAATATAAAAATATATTCATATTTTATAGGGAAACAACAAGGGAACGAGTCCAAAATTGAGAATCAAAATTTCCAGAGTCGATCATAAAGACGAATCGGAGGAATTAAATTCCCAGGAGTTAATGAATTCTATGTTAACACTTCAAGGAACTAGAGTTGCTCCCACCGAACATGAAGTGTCTTCTGAAATTGATTGGTTCTCATCTCAACAACCACAAATTTTCCCAACTGTAGAAAACAATTTAGCTACATCACCAATTTTTGATTTTCGACAAACACACTTTGAATAATATATCCAAATATTCGATTTTCAAAAAAAATATAATAATATATTTATTTAATTTAAAACTCTAAATTTAATTAAACTTAAAAAAATCTATTTATTTAATAGAAAAAAACTGTTTAAACGATCAAATCTATTGAAAATAAAAAATTTCAATTAATTATAGTTTTTTTTATTAAATTTTGAATTATTTTTTAATCACTTTTAAATTAGTCTGAAATTATTTTAAAATTTAAAAATTTTCAATTAATGAATTTAAATAACCATCGTTTTTCCTTGTTTTTTTATTTCTAACATAATAGTCAACGAACATATAATAATATAGTCATTCGTAATAAATAATTATTGCTTATAATAATTAATAATTATTATACAGTATTTTGTTTGTTTGTTTTTTTTTTCTTTGTAACATGGTTTGCACAACATCGATAACATGCGCTCGTTTATTTTCCATACAATATTTTTTTCTTGGGAATTTACATTTTTCTGAAAAATTCATTTTATTTATTTATTTTTTTCTGTTGAATTCTCTAAACGATAATATTTATATTTATACAAATTTTTTTTTCTTTCACGATAGAAAAATATTGATATAGAAAATTTTCCGATTTACCGACTTAATACTTATCGACTTACCGACCTAGATTTTTATTAACCTGCAGCGCGCAAAACTATATCGATTAAGCGACATTTTACTAATAATAATTGCGTTGAAATAACTGCATCTGTGCAAAACTTAACAATTTATTTATTTACTCGACTTCGTAACATTTATTTTTATCGACTGTTAATAAATGTTAAACTGACCGATTGTTAATAAAAAAAAAGATAACGGACTTATTTATCGATTGTTGATAATGAAGTACAACCGATTTACCGACAGTTGATTTAGATTCTAAAATTATCAAAATAAAAATGTATTGATAATGCAAAAAAATTACCGACTTGCCGACTTTTATCGACTGTTGGTAACCTACCGACAAATTCTATAAAAAGAAAGATAAATTAATTTAGATTTTAATAACTCTAAATTAATTCATGATTTTTTACTAATTTTGACGTTTGAATTTCAAAATAATTTCTTAATTAATATTTATAAAACTAATATATTAATGTTAATAAATCAAAATATAAATAAAATTTTTTTTACACTACAGCGAAACCAAAAAATTTTATTATATTCGTTGTCTGTAATTTTCGACTATTTTAAAAATTTCTTTAGTGCTAAAAAGAAAATCTTTGAGAAAAATGTAAAAATCCCAATTTTTTCCATTTTTTGTTCAATATACGATTTTAAATATTTTACAGCCTTTTTTTATTAACATAGGTGCGCATCTAATTTCACGTTCAAGTAAAATCACTACGATTTCATAAATCGTATTTATCTCACCTTTTTCTTATTTTTTTTTTATATTTTGTTTTTTTATTTTAACTAACTGATCATTCATACGCGACGATTATATAAACATAGAAACATACAAACACACATGTTTTCATCTAAATGCTATAATTAATCGCAACGATACTATTACTCGATTAAAATGACGCGTACAATTAATAATTTTGCTCTTTTTCTTTATATAATAATCTACGCTTTATTTTTTTAACGAAGCACTGCGGATTTTTGTGTTTTTTTTAAACTTCTTTACGAAGCATTTATTAAAATTTTTTTTCATCATTTTTTTCATTATATGATAATTTTTTTTTTTTGTCTTAAAACTTATTTTTTGTTTATAAGATAATTATCTCATGCTTCGATTCGAACTTATTTGGGTGTCGATTTGTCGATCCCAATTTTATCTCAGACGCCTTTTTTTTAATAAACTCGGGAAAAAATTTATTTTAAAGAACCAGATTTTACTTTTTTCTTCTTCAAATATTTTCTTCAACAAAAAAAAAAAATTATTTTTTGAAACAAAATAATTTATTAAACTTATTTAATAAAATAAAATTATTATTAATCTTTATATTACTTATATTATTGTTAATATTAATTAAATTCTTATTAATATGAATGTGAATTAAAATAATTAATATTTTATTAAACTTATTTAGTCGGTTCTCAATTCGCTTCATCTCGTTTATGAGAGAACTTTCATACCATCTAGGCGGCAATTTAATGAACTCTATTGGCGCGAAATTCAAAAAAGGAAACATTTAAATAAAATTAATTTGGTTAAATACAAGAAATAATTTTTATTAAAAATTTTCTTTCGGTTAATAATTAATTAAAATAGCTAAATTCAACAGTTTGGTTCAGTGAAATAAACTTTTTCCCTGAGTGTGGATTGAAATTTTTTACAAAAAAAAAAATTACTTTACCTCTTTTTTGTTTTAAATGAGTAATAAAAAAATAATTAAATTTTCACTTTTATATGTATCAAATTAGACATATATATGTATATATATACAATGTTAAATATTTATAACTATTTCAAATAGTTTAGTTTCAATAGAATTGCAATAATGGGTTTTTAAAAAAATATTTTTTATTCAATATTTTTTTAAAATTGCAAATTTTCAAATAAACCTGAAGCGTCTAGATTTAATGACAAACTTATTGGGTAGAGCGTCGTACTCCTTTTTTTTGTTCATTAATAATAATCACAGTCGATGCAAAAATAAAACTCATTTTCCGTACGAATTTTTTTCTTATAATAGAATATTACAAATTGCACTAAAATTTTCTCTCCTTTTCTTTCTGTTTTTCAAAAAACAAATTCGAAAAATTTGCCAAAGAAAAATATTTTCCTTTAATTATTTCATCGTTAATTTGAAATAATAAACACTCAACTAAATATTTTTTATTGTCATGTGAAAAAAGATAGTTAATAATACAAATAACAAGAATAAAAATAAATAATAAATAATAATAAAAATAATAATAATAATAATAATAATTATAAATAATTAATTATTCATTTTTAATTAATACGAAAATTCTTAATTCAATTAAACTTTGAATCCAGTAAAATGCCACACGCATTCCTTTGATAATCTTTCAATAATTGGCCTTCGGTTGAGGAATTTTTCATTAACAATGATTGGATGATGGAAATCCTCTTTGTGCAAAATTTCTCTCATAATAAAATGAAAAATAACTATTTTAATTTCATCGATACAGAAAAAAAATACAAATTAAACAATAAACAATTAAACGATTCCATTATAAATAGATTTTTAATTAACAATTAATAAAACAATTAAAAATTCAAGAATTCGTAGTATGTTTAATTATATCAATCTGACTAATTAATATTTTTATTTAATGTTCATAATTTTCAACTGTATTTTCAAATTAATAACATTAAAAATTATATGGAACAAACGTAATTTGCTTTAAAAAAAAAATTGGAAGTTAATAAAATGAATTGCCTGTTTTTAATCTCTATAATTAACTTTTGATTAATATTTTTTCACATGACAGTAAAAAATAATTCAAATAAAAAATATAGCAGGACGAAATATATTAATAATAAAAATAATGATAATGATAATAATAACAATAATGATAATAATAACGATAATGATAATAATAATGATAATAAAAGCGATAATAGTAATAATAATTATAATAATAATAAAAATAATCATAATAATCATAATCATAAATGTAATTATAAAAATGTTAAAAAGTTTTTTCAATATGTTAAAAACAATAATGAAATTTCATAGAATAAATAAAAAAATTGATTTAATTTAAATAACCAATTACTACTCATGAAATAAATATTAACTTGAATAAAATAATTTTTATTTAAATCAATTAAATGGTAATAATTGCTTTAAATACTGAATCTACTCTTTCAAATACAATTTATTTGAGTTAAATAGAAATTATTCGATGCAAGTAAATGTTTATTTCATAATAGAAAAATAATTGTTTATTTATAAATTTTTTTAAGTGTTTAAATCATTAAAAGAACAATAATAGAAATGTAAAAAAATGATTGTAAAAATAATTTTCCTGAAACAACTAAAATATTTACTGGAAAAGCAAAACAGTGGTTGTTATAGCTAAAAAAAATTTTTTTTGTAGCTAAAATTATAACTGTCATGATGAATAATTTAGTTGTTTCTGATAAATTTTTTCCACCAAAAATTATAAATAATAAAATAATAAAATACCTGGAATGACAGTGCAGCATTGTATAAAGACAATTTGTGATATGAACTGAAATCAAAAAAAGAAGAAAAAAATAAATTAAAATAATATTTAAAAAATGAGAACAATTTTTAAATAATTATGGGTTATTCCGTGTAAAATTTATTCATCAAATTTATATATTTAACTATTTTCTCATTAATTTTTCAATTTAGTTTCAATTTAATTTTATTCAAAATTCAATACAATTTTGAAACATATTAAATTTTAATTAAAAATGATTCAAAATGAAGAAAATAAATTGTTCTAATAAAAATTAAACTATTGTGAATTAAAAATTTTACACCGAATAATTCCTTATATGAGAAGAAAAATAAAATTTATCAAAACGAAACCTAAAATCTAAAAATGATGAATTTCAAGAAAAAAAGAAAATAAATAATTTTCTTAAAATTACGTACAGCCATGAAAACTCAGTCATCGTATCTATACACAATTTCATCTTCACTAGAATTTTCTATTCTACACAATCAAGTTCCTGATAAATTTTTTTTCCGGTATTTCATATCTTTTTAATCGTCGATTATTCGATCATCGACACCGCCTTACTGGAAGGTCATTATAAATTAGAGTCTAGTGATCACTATATTACGTTATAGCGGAACGTAATTCGCGTTGCGGAAGAAGATGATTGATCGCCTCTTTTTATCGAATGAGGGTCAAGTTGCACGTCAAACACTTTTATATATATATTTACGTTCTTTTTTTCACCGTCTCTCTTATTTTTTTTTTTTTTTTTTTTTTTTCTTTAAACTTCATTGTTATATTTTTGTAAATAAGATTTCTACTCCGTCAAAACACGTTTCTAATTCACTGCACATTTATACTTTAAAAAAAGAAAAAGAAGAAAAATTGTCATCTTCTTATTTATAACTTTATCGTCTTTTTCGTTTATTTTTGTTTTTTGTATCAACAAATTCCTTTGTTGAATATGGAATTCGTCTTGGCACTGTTAAAAAAAAAAGAAAATGAAACCGGATCACATATTAGGCCCAACGTCGCATACGTGAACGTTGTTTCTTTTGTTAAAGTTTCACTAAACGATGAATCTAGTAACGAAATTTGCAGTTTTTTTATTAACAAGACGGGGCTAGGCGGCACGTTGTGGTGACAACGACAGCAGTGGCACACTTGCGGGGCCTTCCCCGTCGAGCGACCGTCATACAGGTGTCTCAAATGTCACCTGGAATTTTAAAAATCACTTTTTCAGGAAGCAAAACACAAGACGGTAAGTGCTATTCATTATTGTTATTGTTTACGGTAAGTGCAACTCATAGTAATTATAATTAACAGTAACTGTAACTCCAAGTGCTATTGACGGTAAGTGAAATACTAACAACAGTGTAATGACAGTAAGTGATTACACTTACTGTCATTGACGGTAAGTGCTATTTGCTATTGTTCTTATTTACGGTAAGTGCAATTCATCACAGTAAAAAGTAAATCTTAATTTAAGAGCTGCCTTAAATTCAACACTGTCTGCTATAATGTTAAAGGATACGAAAAACGTGCGTAAATTCAACATTGACTGTCTTAAAAATGTTGCATCTTAATTTAAGGCAGCTTTCGTGCCTTAAAATAAGATTTTCTTTTTACTGTGATAGTAATTATAATTTACAGTAACAGTAACTGAAAGTGTTATTGCCGGTAAGTAAAAAAACTAACAATAGTGCAGTGACAGTAAGTGATTACACTTACTAAAATTATTGACGGTAAGTGTCAAAGTACAAAATAAACAAAAACAGTAAGTGCACTTGATAGTATGTATAATTAACAGTAAGTGCACTTGATAGTATTTACAACTAACAGTAAGTGCACTTGATAGTATTTACAACTAACAGTAAGTGAACTTGATAGTATCCACAAAAACAGTAAGTGCTCTTGATAGTATCTACAAACAACAGAAAGTTTACTACACAATATTTACCATAACAGTAAACTGACATTTATTGTATTTATTATCAGCAGGTACAGCAAAAAAAAAATTACTAACAATAAGTGCAAATAAAAAATTTACCATTAACAGTAAGTGCACTGCATAAATGTCTGATTGATAGAGTGCATTTAATTATTTTTTTACTGAAAATAAGTGCAATATGTAATTTACTATTTACAGTAAGTATACTGTACAAATTTTGTGTTCACATTAGGTGCACTATATGACTTTCCACTGACAGTAAGTGCACTACATGATTCTCTTGTTGACAGTAAGTGCAATTACTGTGACCAGTAAGTGCACTATATAATAATATTCATAAGGAATAGTAAGTTGACTAAATTCGTAACTATTAATGGTACAAATAGGAAATATTTACCGTTAACAGTAAGTGCAATGCAGTTTACTCAGTGTCCCTTATAATTTCTAGCGTCTTCGGCTATTCTAGCTGGCTGAACCACTTTCATAAAAATGATCGATTTTTCGCAAATTTCATAAAAGTGGTTTTTTTAACCAAAGGGCTGAGATAAAAAATTGGGTAAAGTGTTTTTGAAGAGCCCAAAAATAATTAAGCTAAATTCCATAAAAAAGAAGAAAAAATGTTCGAAATAAAAATTTCGATTTTTCGCAAACATAAAAGTAGATTTTTTTAACCAAAAAATGAGCACTAATTTTTGACACAATAAAAATTCATTTTTATGAAAGTGGTTCAGCCATCCTAGCAGAACTCTGATTAGTTACTGGTAACGGTAAGTGTTATACAAAAGAAATACTTTTACTCTACTTCAGAATTAACTATTAACATCTGCTAACAATAACAATTATCACTGATGAAATTTGCAGTTAGTATGAATAATGAACGGTAAGTGATGACAGTAAGCGTTACTGTTGACGGTAAGCCAAGTGACTGTATTTACCGTCTTCAGTAAGTGAATCCAACAGTTACTATTTTGTCAATATCAGTGTTTTTGTGGTGCTATTAACATTTTCTACTACAAGTTTTATTTTATCAACAGTACTCAACACACGGTAAGTCACCAATGGTAACTTACCGTCATTCTCTAATGATAATTGTTGATTTAATACAAAATGGCTCAGAATGGACATTTGGCAACAAAAAATGAAATTTTTTCCTTTTAGAAAAATGAAAATGCAATTGAAAGTGCAATGACGAAAAAATCGACAATAACTGAATTTAAACGGACGGTAAGTGCAAATTGTTAATTCTACACATTATTTGTAATTCTTACAAATGTTTCATTTCGTACTTCCTTAAAAATATATTTGAACTTTTTAATTAAAAAAATCATTGATAACATTACTGTCTAAAAAGGAAAAAATATTTTGAAACTACTGTCGAAAAAAATAAAAAAAAAAAAAATAGAGTAATGAACAAATAGAAATTACTGCTGTCGAAAAAAATACACAAAAAAATAGAAATAAACTAGAAAAAAGGAAAAAAATTACAGAGTAATAAACCATTGAAACTACTGTCGAAAAAAGAGAAAAGAATATAGAGTGAAGTGAAACATTTTTATGAATTATATCTAGAGGCTTCGGGGGTGAATAGATTATGAACCTAAGACGTCAACTAACGAAGAACAGAAAAAGATCCTCGACCCCTCGTGTTTAAACTTTAGAGATATTTTCTTTTTCCACTACTTTTTTTTTTTTAACTCGACTCCTTAACTAAAGCACTCTCAAGTCTATCTTCTTTCTTTGTTACAAATACGCATCATTTCCCGAGACATTTAACACAGAAAAGAAAAATTTTGTCAGTTTCTTTCTTCTTTTCCGCACTCTTTATCACTAGATATATGTATTCAAAGAAGTTGAAAAAAACGGACAGAAAAAGAACCGCCTTTAATTTCAAAGAAAAATACCGTTTCTGTCCCAGTTTCAGTTCATGTCCCAGTAGTCGTCCATTTTTTAAAGATGATTTTTTTACAACAACGTAAATTAATTTTTTAAAATAATTTAATATTTATACTGATTTCAACTCTGATGTTAGATTTGAAAAATCTAAAATGGCGGATCTAATATGGCGACCAAGAAAATTATAAATTAGAAAGATTTGCTGGAGAAATCTTCAACAAATCTGCCTAATATAAAATTTTTTTATTTGTAAAAACCCTCAACTAATAAATATTAGTTGAGGGGTTTTAGAAATAATAAATTAAATCTTTCGTTAAATTAAAAATTCAATATGGCGACCGAATATGGGGGTAAATTAAAAATTTATATATAAAATATTAAGATTCTTTTTAATAATTGAATTCTTTTGGGATTCTTAAAATTTTTCAAACTAATAATTAATTATTTTTAACTAATTCAGATTTAGAGAGTTTAATGATAATAATAATTATCAATATTAATTCTATAAATTATAATTGATAATTCATAATTTAATATTTATAATTTATAATTATAATTAATAATTAATAATTAATAATTTAATATTCTCTTTTTCTTCGCCAGTTAGTTGTTATTCTCCAACAATATAAAATTAATGGGATCTTTTTCTTTTCCTCAGAAGAAACGTAATTGAATAGAGTTAAGGGGTACAAAAAAGAAATATATATATATAAAGATTTTCCATTGTGAAGACAAAAATATAAATGAGAAAATGTTGTTGGTAGTTTTAAAAAAAACTCACCTCTCTGACGGCTTTTTTCGAGCGCTTCCTCTCGAGTTTCGGAGTCTGTGGCAGTAAAGTATAATCGCCACTGGCACCACCGCTTCGTTGTCGCGATAAAGCTTGATGCGAGGAGCTTGAAATTCGCGGAGGTGGCGAAAACTGGATACCCTGAGGTAACATCGAATACCCCGAATATCCGGCATAGACACTTGGAGTTTGGGTGAATGGCGAAGTTGACGGAAAATGATTCGCTACCACCGGTGCCCAATATTGGTGAGAAAATCGTGCCGGTGAACTTTCTGCAAAAAAGAAAGAAAGAAATAATCCGATTAGATTAGATTCATTCTTTTCTACTGTAAAATTCAAATTTTACACGTCAAATTAAATCCACCGGTTTTTTTTCAAAGAAAAGTCTAATTAAAATTTTGTCAAAAAAAAATAATTCTTGATTAAATTGAAATTCAATGTTACCTATATATTACATTCCCTATTCTCTTGGATTATGTAAAATAAAAGCGAGGTAGCAAATAAACTGCGAGAAAGATAAAGCCGCAGGAATATTGGATTCGCACATATACAACTTTTGCAAATACATATATATATATATATATGTAATTTTTTTTTCTTCTTTCTCAAAAGCGCGAGAGAATATTGGAGCAGAACGAAACGATAAAAAAAAGTCTATAGTTACGTGATTTTGAATTTTGTTTTGAGTGTATTAAAAGCATGCTTTTCAACATTTATTGCGTGATTGGGTTTTGCTCGATCTGGAAAATGTTACGTTGATAAGGTTCAATTTAATGTCATGCACACGCCGTACCTGGCACTTATACCTTTCTACAGTTCAATAGACCAGATTTCTTTTCTAGTTTCTTCCTCCCGAAGTTGCATGACACCAATACCTCATGTTTTCTTTACACTCTTCACTTTTCTTCTCTCTATATATCCACATATCTATTTAAATAAAATGCAAATTTTTTTGAATTCTCTTTCTTCGTCTCGCTACTTTTTCTTGATAATAAATTTCAACAGATCACGAGGCTTTCAAGATCATCATCATACATACTCAAGGTCTGGTTTTCTATTCATTTTCTCGGGTCAAGGCCTAGAGATTGTGTTTTTAATAAAAAAATCATTTTTTTATTATCTGGACGGTAAGTGCTGGTGGTGACAATTATTATAAATGATTTATAATTATTACTGCTGTATGAATAATATCACTAAATTATGTAGTTTACTTATTAAATGCAGTAAATACAGTAAAAAATAGCTTGGAGAAGGTAAGTGCTAGTAGAGGATATTACCCTCAACGGTAAGTTTTCTATTCACTTACATTTTATTTTGCCTACAAATTGTATTTTTAAAAAACAAATACTAGTTTCCAATTGCTATAAGTTTTGTAGTCGCAACGGTAAGTTTAGCTTTTTTTAACTCTATGGACGGTAAGTGCTTGTGGTGACAATTAAAACGAATGATCTGTAATTATCACTGCTGAATGAATAGTAACATTAAATTGATAAATTTACATACTAAATGTAGTAAATACAGCAAAAAGTAGCTTGGAGACGGTAAGTGCTATTAGAGGATATTACCCTCAACGGTAAGTTTTCTATTCACTTTCATTTTATTGGGTCAATGCCTAGAGATTGTATTTTTAATAAACAAATAATAATTTTTTATTGCTATAAGTTCTGTAGTCGCGACGGTAAGAGTTAGTTTTTTTTAACTCTTTGGACGGTAAGTGCTTGTGGTAAAAATTATTACAAATTATCCGTAATTATTACGACTGTATGAATACTAACAATAAATTATGAATTTTACTTACTAAAAGGAGTAAATACTGTAAAAAGTACCTCTGGAACGGTAAGTGCTATTGGAGAATATTACCTTTGATGAAATGTACTAGTGTTTGTCACCTACCATCACGGTAAGTGCTGTAGGTGGAAAAAATTAATTCCGATAAATTTTACTAATTACAGTAAGCACCATCGGTAGAAATTTTAGAAAATAAATTGCTTTCGAAGGATATTACTAATGACGGTAAGTGGCGATTGCTACTAGTCAATATAGCCAGTAAGTATAACTAGACAGTATAACTATTAGGTATTTGAAGTAAAAATTACCAATGCCTATAGTAAGGGAACCAAAATACCGAAATTTTTTACTAAGGTATCGACAAAATTCTATGAAGCGGTAAGTGCTAATAGAAAATATTACCCTTGACGGTTAATAATATATTTTGTTGCCTTTCTTCACGGTAAATACTAACAGTAGAATTAATTATCGCTGATATTTGTTTGTATTCACAACTTTGTCGGACGAAATTTTGAATATTAAGTGCTATAGGAGAATATTACTCATGACGGTAAGTGACAGCGATTATTGACATTAAGTTAGAATAGCAGTAAGTAGTAAGTACTTGCATTAAAAATTATTATCGACAATATTAAGGGAAGTACCGAAATAAGCACGTACTGTCCGTTGGACGGTAAGTATATGCGCTTACCTTCCAACAGACGGTAAGTGCTTAAAGTGTATATAATCCATAACGGTAAGTGTCAACTTTTATTACCTCCCTTATTTTTTCTTTTATTTATTATATTAGTTGATACCTTTACGGTAAGTGCTAACGGTAGAAAAATTACGGTCACTTACCGTGTAGAGTGACGGTAAGTATAAAAATTTCTGGTGCTTATACTAAGCCTACCAAAGTAAACCCCAAGGGTATTAGTTCCAAGAAACGGTAAGTGCTATAATAGGATATTATCAACGACGGTAAGTACATTCCTCCAAAATGTCAAGCAGCGACAAAAAAAATTGGACGCGCAGGCGCGTAGCGTCTGCGCGGACATTTTTTTTGTCGCTGCCATCACCTTATCTACAATTTTCCACTTTAATCCCGCTTCTCACCAACAATAAAGTTAATTTTTCGCGAAAAAGAAAGAATAAACGGAAAAAGAAGAGAAAAAGAATAAAATTTCCAAGAATTGCATAAAAATTGAAACTTACTGTCACTGCGAGCGTTGCTGTATCTTCTGTGGGCTTTCCACGTCGTGGAACGAACTCTACCGGCAGTTTCTGTATTCACAGCGTCGACACTGAGACTTCGGGCGACACCACGATAGGGATTCGAAACGGCGTGTTCGTGTGCGGCGGCAACACCCGCCAGTTGTTCATTAAGGGCGTACAATTTTGATGTTATATCCTTTCCAATGAGTGTATTGATGACTACTTTCAATAGGGGCCTGTGCCTCAATACCCTGAGGAGTTTTAATCTCGTCCAACAAATATATGTACTCGACTCCTCAGCTCTAATGGTGACCTGGAAGACATCGTCGAGATTCTCATGGGTCGCCTCCCATTCCGGAGAGTCCACGAATTGATACTGTCTCACATAGTGCAAATGCGTTCCGTCGCACGTCACCTTTAACCTAAATTATTGTCTTTAGTTCAGTATCGTAGTAAATAAATAAAATAATTAAAATAACTAAAATAATAAATAAAGTAAATAAAATAAGAAATAAAATATTAAATAAAATAATAAATATAGAGAAAAATAGAATAAAAAATTAAATACCATAAAAGAAGAAAAAGAAAATACAGAAGAACGAAATAATTTTTTAGTGGGGTACCAAAATACCCCAAATTACTAATTAGGGAGTCTAGGGTTAAATTAGAAATAGTTTAGGGAATTATGAAACATTTTCTTGTGTACCAGGAGCAAAGAAAAGAATAAAAAAAAGTAACTTACTTGCCACGAAGGAGTATCGATAGCCTCTCGTCAGCCGCACTGACACCCTCAGTTGCGTAAGTTTGACCAGGATCTAATTTCAAAATTCTCGCCTCCTTCGCAAGTTCTTGAAAATGCTTTTTGCTGACTTTATAGGGTTTAAAGAGTTTGAGATATAATTCAGCGAGCTCGGGACTGAGTGCCGGTGGTAAAAATCTACAGGCCAAAATAAGTGAGTGGATTCCATTGAGTAGACCTAGAGCCAGACACCAGAGCATTGCGTCTAATGCACAAATTGTTATTCCCGCCCAGAGTGCCGACAACATAAATCCGGCAGTTAGAAATGTTCTCAGCGCAAGAATGGACGCCTTAAAAGATCTCGGAACAAGAAAAGCTGCTGCGAAGAAAAGATTTGCTGCCTGAAAAGAAAAAAAATACTTAAGTCTTTACCATTTTAGACAACATTCAAAAAAAAATTTTTTTATACTTTAAAGAAATTATTTTTATACTTTAAAGAAATTATTTTTTATACTTTATAAACTAAAATGATTATACAAATTAGCGAATAAGCAAAAATAATAACACAGTTCTGCAAAAATCGACTTTTTTTTATTTTATTTTTACCCAAAAACGTATTTTTGAGGGTTACCAAAATATTGTTTTGATTATGAGATATTTTAAAATCAAGAGGTCTTAAATTTAAGCTTGAAACGTACAATTTAAGATCTTTATGCACAAGACAAAAAAAGTGGAGGATTTTGAGAAAAGTGGGGGTAAAGATTTGAAAAATTTCTTCTTATCGTTATTATTGACATTGTATTCGTTTTCAATGTATTTTTGCCCTCTGAACACGATCCAGGGTTCCAAAAATTTCCAATAGGTCAGGTTTTCGAAAAAAGTGGGGGTAACAACCCAAAAATCTTGTTTTGCGGGGTCTTTACTCCAAAATTTTCTTAAAATCCTCCTTTTTATTGTTGATTTTACTCATGTGGATCTTAAGGCAGTACGCAAGGCTAAAAAATAGACGATTTTGAAAAAAGTGGGGGTAAAGACCCAAAAAAATAAATTTATTAATTATTTTTAATATGGGAGTCGTTTCCAATGTATTTTCGTCTTCTGAACACGATCCAGGATCCCAAAATTGTGGAGCACATTAAAATTTTGAGAAAAGTGGTGGTAAAGACCCAAAAAAATTTTTTTTTGTTATTCTTGATATGGGAGTCGTTTTCAATGTATTTTCGTCTTCTGAAGACGATCCAGGCTTCCAAATTTGTCTAGCACGTTAAAATTTTGAGAAAAGTGGGGGTAAAGACCCAAAAAAAATTTTTTTGTTTGTTATTATTGATATGGGAGTCGGTATCAATGTATTTTTATCTTCTGAACGCGATCCAGGGTTCGAAATTTGTCCAGCACCAAAGAATTTTGAAAAATCGGGTCTCGTAATCGTATGTTGCCGACAAAAATATACATAGTATGACTTAAAAACATAGTATAAATTCTGAATTGTTTGTAGAATGCATAATATAATTACTTGAAAGAGTTTGTGTTGAGCGGACTCCCATTCGTCGCAGTAGCTTTCAGTTGATAGGATTGTAACATTGAGTCTTTCAGTGATATTACTGGCCTCGGTGCTGTTCCAAACGTCCACCCACAACTCAGTGTAATTGAGATCGTTGAGTAAGTAACCCTCTTGGCTGGCGAGGCCACTGTAGTTAAAAATGTAACCCTCGGTGGAATAGGTTGCCGACGTTGAATTGGTGAACGGTATCGTCGAAGGGGTTGATAGAAGGCTACCCGTGGAAGTGGGAGAGCCCGTCGTATTCGCCATTTTTCGTCGAGTACGCGTCGTACGGGCCATCACCCTCTTCTGAAATCAAAATCCAACATTCAATCCTCCCATTCATTTTATTCTCCACTCACTTTCATCTGTATTTTATCAGTTCTTTTCATTTCTGGGTACTTGACTAGCTCTTAAATTAACTCATAACTTAACTCTTGACTTTGTTTTTGATTTAATTTTTTTTTATTTCAGAGTTTAGTTAAAAAATAGTTTAAGAGTTTAGTAAAAAAGATAAATTAAGTTAAGGGTTACATGAAACAATTTGGAAAAAAAGCCTTATAAAAAAATTCAACGATAACCATAATCAGTGATTAATTATAACTGCATCTAATTGATCACTCAATCACTACTTACAGATCAAGCAAAAACGATAAATCCTCTTTACTTTTTAATTCAGGTCAAGGTTGCAATTTAAAATGCCCCAAAGCTATAATTGTATATTTAAGATAACAATTTCGAGATCCTTCACAAATATAATTCACCAAAAAGAAAAAAGAGAGAAAAAGAATAATTTATGAGTCAAGAAAAAAAACTCCCTCCTTCTTCCGGTACTGATGACAATTAATGATTTAAGATAACAACTTCCTGAGGAATAATCCTAATGGGAAATCGATGTCTTGATGCTGAATATTCATTTGACAAGGAAATTCGGAATCCGCATACGTATTAAATTGGAAAATCAACTTCTTTTTTGTAATTTTATCATTCAGGAAGTTGAATGAATTTCAAATAAGCTTAATCTTCTTTAGCAGTGACCACTTAAATAGATTATAAATGTACTCAGTCTTTTGAAAAAGTACTGGTAAACATGAAAATTGGACTTATGAGAGAGAAAGAAAAAGAAAGAGAAAAAAAACCAAGGGCTATAAAATTGTTTTATAGTGGTAACTCTTTTGCAAATATGATTCCGTAAAAACTAGTTTACGACTCTTGAGAACTTTATCTTCATATCGGTATCAAGAAAATCTTTTATTTCATTCACGGAAATAGTTTTTCTCAATAATATACATAGACATTTTTACCATTGAGGTAATAAAAAGTGCTTTGTATTTTTAAAGTACGAGTACTATTGGTTGTCAGTATGTTAGTGTTTGGCATTTTTCCATATAGCTTTCTACAGTTTTTCGAGAGTTTTAGTCACATTTTTATCATTATTTTTTATTTTTTTATTAACCTCTCTGTCAATTTCTTCTTTTTCATAAAAATTTAAATGTTTTTTTGCTTTCTCTGTTTAAGAAAAACTAATTATTCGAGAAATGAAGATTAAGATTTTAATTTCAGATTATAAAAAAGTGACTTATTATTTTTATCTATACTAATTATCCATTATTTACCAAGTAAAGCATATTATGAATTATTACTATTGAAATTCATAATCCTTACGAGAAAAAACTGGATTAATTGGCATTTCGTTCACTTTGAATTAATTTCAGATTTACTCGCTAATTTATCATTACGTAACAAAAACAAATTTTACAAATAAAAAAGCAGAGTTAATTAATTTTACACAATTTCGTTAACAAAGAAAAATTTTTTAACTTATTAATTATTAATGAATTTTTATTAAAATTGTTTTCATTTTTGCTTCAAAAAAATTCTTCCTTACATTCATTTTATTTTTCTTTCTTCTTACTTGCAATATAATAACAATTGACAGGTAAGTAAAAAATAAAAAAAAAAAGTTGCTACATCAAAATTTACATATTCCACTTGACACAGATTTTGCTGAACAATTTTAGAAAATGTCAGCAGAATTTTTATTGTTTTGCAATTATCTACACACATGATGCTCCCATCATAAAATGTTTATTGTACCATTAAAGTTAAGAAGAAAAATCATTTCTCTCTAAATCAACAAAAATTTGTATACTATTAAAGAAGAATTTTTGATCGAAAAGAAGTTTATAATAATCAGACTTAATGGAATTTGATTCACATCAAAAGGTAAGGTTCAGGAGTAATTATCTCTACATTAAATTTTCAACCTAATGGCAAGTTGAACTCTCGAGTATACTCTGATTCACAGGCCTCTGCGTAAAGCTCTATGAAAACGAGCTTTGATGTTTACAGTAATAAAATACGGCTTTTCACGTATATTTTACTCTTAACCCCATTAAAAAAGTTTCATTAATTACAAAAACCGCAAAAAACAATTTTTTGTGTTACTCTTTTTATTATAAAAATATGATTCTATTGAAAAAAAATTCCTTGGGAAAAATTTTTTTTAATAAATCAAACTTTTAACTGTATATTCAAACAATTTACTGCGAATGTAAAATGAATTTTAGATGATTTTTCTTTTTTTGATTCTTATTAGTGACAATTTTTTTTCGCACGCTGACAATTTTCTCAATATTTTACGAATAGAGATATTACCATTGAAGTGAAATATTTTCACGGAGACTTTTTTAAAATAATCAGACAAATTCTATCCATTTCACACACCTGCTTCTTTCATTTTCTTACACCACATGTTACACTACCCAAATTACGTTTATATTTGACATTTAATTTTTCCTAAATAAGAAGAAATGGTCAAAAAAAATAAAGAAGAGACAAAAAATCTCTTAATTAAAAATTTATTTAAAAGTTTTTAGAAATAAAATTTAAAAAATTAATTAATAAAGTAAAATTCACACTTATGGTAGAAAAATTATTAATAGTAATTTATTTACTTAAATTTACCATAACTAAGAATTTTATTTATTTAAGAAAAAATTTTGTTTTTAAACTTCAAACATAGCAAGAAATGAACAATTCAGAAAATTGGATTTAGCATCTAATTTACATTGAGAATTTCCGACGACAACTGGACAATGAAGGTCTATTTTCATTAAAATTTTCCTTTTTATAAAAAGCTCATTTATTTGTGGACCACAGTGAGAGAGAGAAATGCTCTAGGGAAAATAATAAATTTTCCCTGGCACCTGTAACCATTAACACGCAGTCCTTCCCTCAGAAATGGGTCCACACTGTAATTCCACTCGGTAAAAGGTCTTAGAGTCTCGGAGATGAAAATGCACGTCAACCGTGAGAATAAATTCCCTTGAAAATTTATACACATATTGTGAAGATAAATGATCGCTAAAAACGAACTTCTTTAAACGATTCGAAAAAAAATTCAATCACACATTTTAGAAAAGAAAATATCCCTAAAAAATCAAACTATTTATTGTGTTTAATTTTATTTACGAAAAAACTAAGCGAATTGAGTATTATTGGAAAGTTCCGTCAACGGTATTCAGACGGTAAGTTAAACTAAAGACGGTAAGTATCTTTGAAGATAACGGTAAGTACTGAAATAATTTTATTCAATGTTGAAGTATAATTAATTTGATTCAGTTAGAACATAACTCAAGACGGTAAGTTAACGGAAGTTAACGGTAAGTAAATCTAAAGACGGTAAGTGTCGAATTTAAAGAGACCGGTAAGTACTGAAATAATTCTATTCAATACTGAATTACAATTAATTTGATTCAGATACAATTTAATTTAAGACGGTAAGTAAACGGTAAGTTAAGCTGAAGACGGTAAGTATCAAATTTGTTGCTGACGGTAAATAAACTAAAGAGAGTGTCTAATTTTCCAACACCTGTAGGCTCCAAACTAAATGTAATCAATGTAGAATTATAATTATTTAAATTACAATAAAATTTTAGACGGTAAGCGAACGGTAAGTGAATCTAAAGATGGTAAATATCAAATTTCGAAAGACAGTAAGTACTGAACTATTTTTTTCAACGCTAAATTACAATTTATTTTGAAATAAAATATAGTTTGCGGAAGTAAACGGTTGTAAACATTTAATACTTAATAATACTTCAGTAAATACTTAATACGGTAACTTAATCTAAAGACGGTAAGTATCAAGTTTCGAAAAACAGTAAGTTCCGAACTAATTCTTCAATGCTGAATTACAATTAATTTATTTTTAACCAAACTCTAGTTCAAGGCAGTATTTAAGACTTACCGTCTTTAGTTTAACTTACCGTTTACGTAAGTAAACGGTTTACGTAAGTAAACGGTATGTTAAACTAAAGACGGTAAGTTTCAAATACTAAATACTCAATAATACTTAATTAAATACTTAATACGGTAAGTTAATCTAACTACGGTAAGTTCAACTAAAGACGGTAAATGTCAAAGTTTTATAAGACGGTAAGTCCTCAAAAAAATTATTTTCCCGTAAAAAGATGAAAATAACGATACAATTCAAAATCGCTAAGTGACTCTCACTAACCTCTGATTTCTGTAGGAAATGAACCATAACTTTTGAGTTCGCTTATTTGCACTTGAGGGTAAGGCTGATAATCTCCAAGAAATTAAATTCATGAGAAAACCTAATTCCACTTGAAAAGGAGCCAAATCAATTATCTTTTCTAGATCGGCTGGTATCTCTTTTGCATCACTTCATGTCTTACCCTCAAACAACTAATCTAAATTTACTATTCAATTCTGTCAAGTTGGCTTGTAATTATTTGCCAAATTATAGAGTGCAAAAGGGAGGAAAAGGCGAAGGACGAGCTTTAATCATCGTTAAGATTTCCAGAATCTGATTTCCACCATTCGCGCGATTTATCATGTTTTCAACAAAATGGTCCCTTCTTCAAAACAATTGCAATCTTGTTGTAAAATTTAATTTTTTAAACAAAAATTGAAAAAAATGATAACGAGCATCAAAAAATAAAAAGACATAAAAATAAAGGTACCAAAAAATAAAGACATAAAAATAAACGTACCAAAAAATAAAAACAAAAAAAAAATAAAAATACAGAAGAACAAAAATACAAAAAAATTAGAAATGCAAGTAAATAACAAAAATAGAAAACAAATAATGAAAGAAGCAATTAAAAAGAATAAGTGAAAATGAAGCAGACGATAAATACAAACAATACTAAATTTAAATGAAAAGATATAAAGGACACAAGAGTGACAAGTCCAGATAACTTGTTCGTAAATGACTTCCTTTTTGAATGTTATTTAGAGGCCATATAAAAGTGACCTTTAACTTGACATTTTGATAGTCT